TATCCCATTCCCAGCGCCGTACCTTTCATACAGCGCAGCGAACCAGCAAACTGGCCTAATAATCCCGATTAATAAGGTAGTATGAAAGTGGCTATATCACAACAACATCATGACAACAACCATAATCCGTAGCCTGGTCTCAACTGATCCAGCACAACAATTTGCCCATGCAGGGACCAGCAGCAGAGTCAGGATGATAAAAGAAGCTTTCACTCACCAGAGCTAAGGCCTCACCTGAGGAGAAAGGCGGCCTGGCGGTTTTTCCTCTGGGCAAACTTCTGGGTGACTGAAGTTTTTCAGACAGCCCGCTGACTAACGCTAGTCGTGGCCCCACAGTGTTGTGCTACTCACTGGAGCGCCTGTTGGGCGCAAGTAACGTTGAGCTCAGTTTCACAGCATCGTCCAGATGACTCCCGCTGTTCTCATGTTTTGCAATCCTTTCACAAAGATGAAGATGAAAACAGGCACAGGACGGTTTCCCTCGAAGCATACCAGCCGGTCACACACGGCGCTGTCAGGAGCTCCAGTGTTTGTACAACGTTAGCTTGCTGTTAGCGATGGTGGCGAGAAGAGATGCTGAGTGAATATAGGCTGTGCGCTGCATGGAGCTCTGTGATCAAATACAATTTTACCCATTTTATATAGTAGCCTAACAAAAAAGAGCGTTCATAATGTGTCTGGTCGCCACAAATAAATCAATGTGTGGGAAACGCCTACTGTAGAGGTCATCCAGCCTGATCATTGCCTTTACTAAGGTGAGGGTGATCAGCATCTGTGACTTAAGTAAAATTAATTAATGATTTTGGTGAAGGCAGCTGTACATAACGTGAGTCTACATGCTGCAAAATTATCCTCACTTTGATCACGGTACAAGACCAGTAACAGCTCGCATGGGTCTCAGTTATTGTTGACAGTTTCAGAATCAGAATCGGAATCAGAAATACTTAATTCCAAGGGGAAATTCTGTGATATGTCTTTAAGATATGCATATTAGCAAGTTATGGCATAAAAGAGAAAAGACTTAGGCTAATAGCCAATGGTAACTTACATGGTGATCAACATCCTTTATCCGTCATGGTCGGTGATTTCTTTTTTAAAATTTATTGTAGAAAACACTTTAGGCCTATAGCTTATTTTAACAATCCGAAACATAAAACGGTGTTGAAACAGCAAAGCCAAAAGAAAGAAGGTAGGTGTCTGTATTGGAAGGATTATGCAAAATGCGGTTGATGGATTTTATCGTTTGAGTTTGAGAACGTGCGTCGCTTTAAATGTTGTCGCCGCACAGAATTGTGGGACGGGATTCTCTCCTTTCCTTTCGTAAAGGATGGTCCGGGGTACCCTATGCTAAAGGAGATATGAAAGGAAGCATTGAGGCACGTTTCCTTAGCTTTTAGAGAATTCGAACAGCTCTTATCATGGCTGCCACTGAATTACTTCCGGGTCATTTTACTCCGTTAGCAACCTTCCTAAGCAAAAAAGACTTTTCGAACGCAGCCTAGCTCACAGTACAATACACAAAACTGTGTAGCAGTGTGACAAACTTATTATAAACAATCCAGGCTATTAACTGTCTCTGTACATTAATTAAATTAGACTTTTCTTTCTTCTGCAGCTTGTTGCTGCCCCCACAGAAAACACACACATTTGGCACACCGGTCTACTCCGCTCTGCTCTGCCTGTTAGTCCCGCCCGACCGGTCTTTCTTTTCTTAACGTCTATCTTCAAACGGAAAATGAAAATAGGGTTAAAACAGTCTGGTCTGGGTATCTCTGGAGACCTAAAATCGGGCCATTATTTGAATTTGGTTTAGTCGTTTTTCGTTTTTGGATTTGGAAACCCAAAACGGGAGAACGCCTCTTTTTTCCGTTTCTTCGTTTTTGGTTTGAAATGACAAACGAAAAAAAAGGTGGTTTTCTCATTTATACGTTTATTGGTTCAAACGAAAAAACAAACTATCAGAATGTAAACAGACCTTGACGAGGTGAATGTCCGAATAAATGCCTGTAACCAAAGGAACGCCTTGTGTTTGCGATTTAAACTGGAGGGGAGCTACATTTATGTCCATTGTAATAGCAAAGGTATTTTCAACACTTCACCAAATAAGTTTTGCTGTTTATAGTGTAATCAGGCCTGACATTTAAGTGATGTGCCAATTGTTGCAAAAGGAATATGTGTTTGGTATGTTTAATATCCTTGTTAAGTTTTGGCAACAGCAAAAGTGTCAATGGCCTATTGGCCATTTTAAAGCTATTTCAACAGGTAAAAATGACTGGATTAGTTGGCACACAGCAAGTAAAATAAAGACTCATACGGTTAATTGCAAAAGAGGTCATGTTTTTATTTTATACATACGCTAGTCGTAATTATGTTAATTATAAACTAAAGTTTGTTTTCCAAATATAAAGAAGGATATTAGACATGCTAAACACATATTCCATTCCATTCTATAATCACATAAATGTCAGGCCTGATTATGGTATAAACGGCAAACACTTATTTGGCCACAATTGTAATTATTCCTTTAGAAGAGATGTTTTAGTTTCAAAACAAAGTTTATTTGCATGTTATGTCTGTTTCATCCAAATAAAAGCAGCTGTAGATGAAAAGAAACTGGGCGATACAGCTTTAACATGCTGCACGCACACAATCACTTTTCCAATCACTTTTCCGCATGACACCTGTCCTTTTTGGTTTGGACTCCATCTCATTAGCTGCTGTGTTGCTGCTGTGTGTACAGTACAGAGTTAGAAGGCAAGAGGCTCTGGAGCGCTCATGCAGTCACAGCCAATGGATTTCCTGGGAAAATCAAACTGGAGTCTAGAATTAGACATACTACCCGTCAGAGGTTAACGAAAACCTAGCAAGTGGATCATTTTTATGTTAGGGTACAACCCCTTCACACACAGGCAATAAAAAATTTATTAATTTCATTAAAAAAAAAAACTACATATAGCCCCTTTAAGATACTTAAAAGCAGTATCTTTTCAATCTGTAAAGGCAGACATGGTCTCCCCAAATATGTTTCAGAGATATAAATTCTCAAAATCAGTGGTACTTCAATTGATTTATTAATAGTTTACTCTATAAAATGTCAGAAAATAGTAAAACATCCATCCATCCATCCATCCATCGTCAACCGCTTATCCTGTGTACAGGGTCACGGGGATAGTAAAACATATACCCTTCACAATTTCCTCGGGTCCAAGGTGACCTCTTCAAATGTTTATAATATCAGATAATTTTTAGGAGTTTTATATCGATCAACTAATTGAATAATCAGGACATATTTTCAGTACTAAACTAAAACAAACTGTGGTTAACCTTGAGTATTCATATCACACATGTTCAGGGTGTGCAGCACATGACTTGGGGAAGTGAAAGTTATGTTTAAAACATGGTAGCCTACTATCCCTGATTATTACTGCAGAGATAATTTACGTTTGGGTGGCTAATTTTCTAGGTCTACAATTAGTCACTTCTGTTTAACTCACATTAGATGACAAAAGCAAAGACAGGCCTTAGGTCACTTGATTGTATTAAGAGTGAAGTGAATTCCTTTTAATTCACTAACTTTTTTTGACTGACCCATTGTAGTTTGAGGCTAAAGACCATATTCTATGCACACTGCTCCACCTGCTGGTTGTATTAGGTAGCACAAAAGTCAAATTTGAGGCCCTCTGTGGGTAGATGCCTCTGTTGATTTATGTCTTTGACTTGCTTCATTATTAGATTTTCATCATGTTCATTATTGCATCTGTGAAAATAGTATCTTAAAGCAATACAGTGAGTCTAATCATGTGTTTACAAAGACTTTGTGAATTATGTAAAGGAAAGTGTAATTAAAAAGTTTTGTGCCTTTACAAGTTTAATTGGGCCTATTTACTGAACAAGAGCAGCTGCCTTGGATGATGACAGGATGAGCGTTAGATGATCTGAATGTTTTGCTTTGTATGGTGATGAGACACTGGGACACTGGAGCTGTGTATCTATCTGGTACAATGTCTGCTACAGATGATCAATACAAATGAAAGACCAAATTGTAATGACATGCTAAATTTCTAACCAGATTGTTGCAGGGGGAAAAAAGTGAAAAGCAAGAACACTCTGATGGTTAGGAGGACAGGGGGAGGAGGAGGAGGAGGAGGAAGAGGAGGGAGAAGAGAGAGAAGGAGGGGAAAGAAGAGAAGACAAAAGATTCATAAAACTAAAGCAGTTGTGGACGACGACAAAAGTTGTGAGTATGAGTTAATTCTGCTTCTTTTTCGCCTGATTTTAACACATACTGTAGGAAATCCACAGAGGAGCATCCGCACATGCAGGATATCTCACATCCAAAGATATTAGTGGAAGGATATTTCCTCATGATTAGATGTAAACATGAAATGTAAAGAGTGAATGCTTGGCTGGTTGACTGATTCACTCCTGAATGGATATTTTATATTTTATGTGATGCATGGTTGCATATAGAGTTCAGTATGCAATGGAAAACATGTCTCTCTCACAAACAGGTCAAGAGACCCATGCACCGAGCTAAACCAGGACAAGCCAACATATTCAATTCAGTAATTGCAAATGCATGACTGATTATTGGAGCTGAAAAGACACAACTTGTGACAAAAGCGTCACACTCAGAAGGGCTGGTGATGGTTGTACAGTTGGAAAGCAGCAATATGTTCTGTGAAAAGAAAGCTGGAAAAGAATGTGCCACTGTAACAGAGGGGCGGAGGGGTGCTCAAATAGGGCACAAAAAAATACACATTCTTCTGAGAGAACTCATGTCTTGGACACCAAAGTTACCCTGACACATCACGAGAGGAATGATGCAGGGCGGGAGAGAAGAGAGGGAAGGAGAAAGAGTAAGAAAAGAAGTGAGGGGAAGAAGAAAAACACATTTTTAAATTTAGAAAGTACATCTTAAATCTCTTTTTTTATAGTTGCTCCACTGCTGCTTTAATTAGTTGGTTACAAGAAGTACAGAAACTGTAATGTTGAATATATGTGTGTGTGTGTGTGTGTGTGTGTGTGTATATATATATACACTGTAGAGCAGATTATTCCATAGCAAAATGACATCAGGCCTTCTTCTTTAACGATGACAACTTGTCTGTCATCCAAAACATAGCGCCACTCTTTCTGTGTGTTTTTAGCCGGAGCAAAACTTTAGGGAAAACATTACAGTGACCTGGAGCATTTATATGCAAGGAGATTAAAGGAAACATAAACAGCACAAAAATCCTGAGCGAGGATATTGAACAGTTCCACTCTGTGAAATCATCCTGACTCCTTTCCTATTCGGTTTCCTCCAGCTCGTAAAGTTCACCTCTTACAAGTTGAAGGAATGGGCGGCCTTCCAGTGGTCCTGCTCCTCTGCAGTTTCCACGGTAACGCTGCCAAACAGAACACACAAATCATCTTGTTTAATTATGGTTGAGTCGCTGCGTGTTTGTTTTCATGCTGCAAAACACTCCCCTCATGTGGTTTCTGTTCCACAGCGCTCACAGCTGTAGCCCAAACCCAGCAGGATGGTAATGCTCTTCTCCTCATAAGTCACACTTTAGATCAGTACGAGTTATGTTGCATGACATCTGTCAGTCCGTGAATCATTGCAATGGGTCACTGGTAAGATGTTTTCCCAGTCTGATTGTGTTTTCTCTCCTCGCTTCTAGAGACTCTTGAGGTACCTGAAGGCGCCTTGCCAGCCAGTGAGTGACAGCAGAGTGAAGATAAAAATGCCTCTCAGGAGGCAACATGAACTGCTGGCACAACATTTTGTGTGCTTCATCTGGTCATTGTGATATATACAATATTCAATATGTCGTGTTTCTTATGTCTCTGAAGACTGTAGGGAGGAGATGTATCCTTGCACCAGGATGTACTCTGTTCACCGGCCCATCAAGAGATGTATTGGTGGTCTTTGTTTCTACAGGTGATCACCAATTTTCATACAGAACAATTTGCCTGCAAGTGATGGTCTTAGTGCACAGCGTGACTGTTCACATTCACATCCATGACTGTTTCTTGAACACACATGGAGAATTAAAAAGATCAGAAGAATGAGTACTCCAAACCTTACTAAAGCAAACGTAGTAGCACCACAATGAAAAAATACATTACACAATACATTTTGGAGTATTAGTAAAAAAACACATCCTTAGTTTTTATTTAGAAGAATTTAACTTTAAATTCATCAGGATTGTGTGGGAGTTCTTTGATCAAACTTGCTTGACAGTGGCCTGTCAACCTAAGCATGCAACCATCAACTGTCAACAGATTTTGATTCAAATGTTGCTAAAGTCTGATTGGTGCACAGAAGTCACATTTTTCCAACTGGGCCAGCCTCCACTTAGAAACAGCCAGAAGAGCAGAAACAAAAGCAGAAATACAGAAATCTCACATGTGAAACAACCAAACGGTTCTGACTTCTGGCAGAAAACAGTGCATTCATGTCAGACTCTAACAACAACAACTAAATTTGCTTAAAGTTATTATGTAAAAGTCACTCATAATGCAGCAGAACAGCCCGTCAGTGTTTTGATATTACTGATGTTATTATTGGATTAATATTACTGATGCATCAATTTGTAAGAAGTGTTTTAATGTTGTAGCCGGTCCAGGTGGAGTTAATTTATTTTGTTTTTTACTGTTTGCAATTTTAATGAGCTGATACGGTTTGGTGTGTAAAATATTAATCTGCAAAATAACAACAACTCCAGACATCAGACAACTACCTCAACACTGTACCTGTGCATACATGTGTATGGTACTTTTTTAAATGTACTTTGTATATGTTCCACTGCTGGAGGACCAGTCTTACAATGTTATAGTTTCTGTAGTTGCACCCTGTCACACCAGGTCAAACTTTACTTACAAAACTCATGTTGCTACTTTCATCCTGTTTCTTACACAGCCTTCCTCGTGTCTATGTGATCAACAAGGAGATCTGTATGAGGACAGTGTGCCAGCAGGATGAGTATCTAAAAGGTATGACACTCTACAATTAAAACAAAGCATGGTGTTCGGTACATGATCGTGCATTTACAGAAATATCTGTCTTTCGCACGCTAAAGCTGAACTGTGCAGAGAGTTGTCCGGGTGGCCCAGGCGTGTTGAGAGGTCATCTAATAGGAAACGCTGTCTCAATCGCCGTAGCAACCCCAAAACCTGGGAAAACAAGGCCTGATGGGCCTAGGATGGCGATGTGACCACCGGTGAAGATGGAGCCCCTTAGAGCCGTCGTCATAAAAACAGCCCATACCACCGTAAAGCCGCCGCTCAGCACCTGGGGGTCTCTTTCACACAAACACAGAAGTGTGTTCTGAGTCATATCTATGTTAATGTATTAGTCTTTTGTGTGTTCTCCTTATGTGTGTTGTTGGACACAAATCATGTCTTCCATGGTTTACGATCCATTTAAGGTACCGTAGTAATGGGCCTATAGCAGCACTGAGTCATTTTATTGTATAAAGAAAGAGCCACTTTGTTGTGGATTGTAAGGCACGCATTGAATGCAGTAGTATGTGCACTATTGTATCTAAATCTATAAATATCTATCTACATGTGTTCATGAGATATTTGTTTATTGATTTGTTCTTTTTCCACTGTTTATTCAGGAGAAAAAACAACAAATGAAAGTTGAAAATGGTCATTGAGTGATATCTTTATGTTTTTCTTTGCATATTCATCTCCATATACATTTCCATAGACATATACAGTTTAAATAACAAGTAACATTTGGGAGAGATGCATATAATTTTACACTGACAAACATTGTTAGGGCTTTTACACTCACATAATGTCTGTGTGTTCCAATCAACATCCATCAACACTGTCATCTGTCACAACACACGTGATATCAGTGCAACATAACCCATCTCTCGGTACAGAACAATATCACAACAAAATACTGCATCAAACGCAGACTAGCTTGGTCCCACGTCGCATTTGTCTGCAGAACACCATAAATAACATGACACCTTAACATGGACTTGACGTTCACAGTTAGAACATCGTTTGTACAGTACAACATGCTGCAGTTGAGGTCTACGGCCTGATCGCCTCCCTATAAAGAATTAAAGGAGAATAAGCTCTCCCCAGACTGACGGGACAGTGCAGAAACACAGACCTATTCATTGAGCGGGAGAGAGGTCATGACCACAATGACTCACCAGTCACAGCTTTAACAGCTGTGCTGAGTAGAGATGACATAACATGGACTAAATCATCTCTTGCTTCCCCTTGAGGCAAAGATAAAAGCACTTGTTGCCTCTCTTTCTTTTGCTAACACCCTATCACATCCAACATTCCTGCTTCCCTTTCCCTTTATAGTGATTTATAGCTAAAACAATGCACACAGAGCCCAGGACCCATCCCCACTGAAATATGTGTTCAAACAGCTGCAGCTTATTTTGACATCTTGCTCAAAATAATGCTGGAGAGCCATTAGCGACCACTAGATTGTGCAAGAGAGCACAGCTATTCTGTATTCCCTTTTGTGGTAAACTTCACTACAAACTAAGTTTAAGATTTGAACAATCCCTGCGTTAAATGCAGACTTTATGCATTAATAACTACACAGACAGACTAGACTGCCAGTCAGTGCATATAGTCCCACTGCTGGGGACTTAAGAGAAAAATAAGCTACAGTACATACAGGTGACAATAACAATGACACTAATTACAAACTGCTGACAATATATACATTTAAAATAAATATTCTCTGTACATAAAATTCATTCATTATTATATTTGATTAGATTTCATCATGAGATGTTTCAGATTATGTCTCCCTTGAATATATTTTTAATATTGTATACTCTATGATAGAAATTAGCAAAGAAAACATAAAGAAAAAAAAAAGGCAGAATTCAAACAGGAGAATGGAAGCTAGAGAGATTGAGCGAATATATAGAAGGAAGAGGATCCCCAGGAAGGATGGGGATAGAAAGTGCGATCAGCTGGTGGAGATAGCCTATGGTTCTACATCTTCCCATTTAAGACTAGACTGTGAGGGTGTATCTCTGGCTAAGAACAAAAGGCATGAGGAACTGAGCTAAAATAAAACAAACCAGTACAGGGGGGCTACCCTGCTTGGCAGGGAGAGATACAAGACCCCACAACGGGGAAAACAAAGTTGCAAAAAGTGCTGCATAAATTTACAGAGAGATAAGAGGGAGAAAAACAAAATGAATCTCTCCTCACTTTGGGGATACAGAGTCAAAGTCTCCCCACAGGTCAGAACTGGCTATGGTGGCAGCGTTGGATGGAGTCACTGAGTTGGAATTGCTGGCGTCAAGGTCTAGCAAACAACCTGGTGGTTAAAACAATAAAAACAGAACAGAAACATAATGCACCTCTGAAGAAGTAACACAAATACAGATTTCTTATGATTATTTATGTCTAATCAGTCTATGAATTCAGCGATTTTAGGCATTTCAAGACATTTATTGTCAATTCCACTAATAGACAGCAAGACAATCTAAGATCAAGAAAGAAAAGTAATTTCACATGCTATGAATTCTGAAAAATGTATTTTGCTAGAGGGGCGGTTCACCGAAATGACAAATAAACATACAGTCTTGCCCCACTTACCCAAGTGCTCTGTAACGATGCAGATACTTTCAATATTATATGATGCAGTTTTGAGATATCAACCTCTGAATGCTCTGATTTGAAACTCAAAAGCAAAAGACTTTCCACAAACAGTCTTCCATTTACTCTGGATAATCCATACGCCTCATAATTAACAGTTTTTGGGGGAATATTTCTTTGTTAAAGTAGCTCCAGTGAAAACAGTTTGCAGTAGAGAAATCGTTTGTGGAAAGACAAAGTGTTGCTTAATTTATCAAATGTTTTTCAGTGCTTTGAAAAATTCCATTCACCTCCACTGTGTTCAGATGGCTGCAGAAATCTGAGACAAAACTCAGCACACGAAACCGAAACTGTGTGCATGGCTAGAGAGACCACTGGGGGTTCGTGGAAAAACATCACTTTTAAGATTAATTGATGTGATCTACAGGGTGAAAACATTTATACAACAGAGGGTCATAGAGGACAGGGGCAACGGTAACTATTTGAGGGCTAATTCCAGTATTTTACAACTGGAGTCTGTATGTCACAGTTTGGCTATAAGTCATTCCATGTCAGCATAATGTTGCACTCATCACTTTCACATGACTGTGGATACAAATGCTCCACTGGAAACAGCTTTACAACAGACCATAATGGGGCCAAGGAAACACGCGTTTAAATAAAGAAATAACATTCCTCTGCTTTATATTGAGCATTTACAAAATCTTTCATTCTGTAAGACTTTTAAGGTGCTGTACTCAGGTGACAGCCTACGTCCTACTGTAAATGAAACAGCTGCACCTGTTTACAACAATCTGTTTGTTGAACATGGGAGTAAAGCTGCAATGCAAAGGATTATTGGGGTAATTATGTTTAACTTTAACCATCGGTTACACTTCCAAAAAACTGATTTTGACAACTGAGTTAAGATTGGGCTAAACTGTTTCCAGCAGAGCACTCAGGTGCACTAACTAAAAGTAAGAGTGGTGAGTACAATACTGTGCTTACCCACATATATGTTAGCCAAAATAACAACAATTTGTCTCCAAAATGTGTTTTCTCGCAACATTTTGTGATCTCAACATAACACACTTGCTTTTTAGGACATTTTCTTTAACTTTTTGTAAATTCACATATTATTGTGTGATCTTGACATAACAAACTCATTACAGTAGATTTCCTCACCAGCTTTCTGTAATTTACCTACCAGTGTCACTTCCTCCTGCAGATTGTTGTGTGTTATGATTGGTAGATCTGGACGAAGGGGGTGGGGCTAACTTGCCCCCAGGAGGAGGTGGAAGAAGCCCCAAGCCACCTGAGCTCTGTGGGCGAGACCTGTCCCTCTTTTTTGATTGCTGGAAAGGGTACAGTTAGGAGAAACAAAAACTGGGTGACTGTGTGTGTGTGTTTATACAAGTTCTGAGAGTTAATTGTAAATTCATTCCCAACTGTGATTTAGCACTGGTTTCATTTGTTAAAATAGTAAAAAGCAAAAACAAATGCAAATTTCTTCACAATTAAAGTTATATTTGACCCACTTCAATTCTACAGACACTCTTCTATAGCACTGTATTGTTTTCCAGGTTGCTGTTCCACCAATGTTCCAACTGTTTAACCATTGAATTTAATTAAAATAAAGTTACCCCAATATTGAGAGTAATGGTCTGTCCTTCTTTGAAGCCCAGGTCCAGTTTGGGAGTGGAATCTGGAGCCTGCGCCTGTTTGGTAAATTCATTCTCCTGTTTCACCCACCTGGAGAAGATAAGGGAGGTAGACAGAGATGCAAAATGATTAAAGATTAAATAAACTCACTGATGAATTAGTTATGATTCATGACACACTAGGGAGCAGCTGCATACTTGAAGTGGTCCTGAAGTGCAACATTAAAGTCAAAAGCATCGCCTCTGTCTCCAAACCCAATGCCTATGAACGCACTGCGGCCTATGAGAGAAATGAAACCAACAAACAAGAGTTAGAGTTTAATAAAGGTGGTACATACAAAAACATACCAAACCTAACAATTTCTTACAGTTATAACCTAGAATAAACAGTTTCTCAGATGAAAAAATAATAGTGTATCTCTGCTCTGAATTAACATGTTAAAAAAATGAATTATCCTTTCCTAGCACCATTCCAAAATACTTATGGCGTAGCAACAGTTTACCCACCGTTGTCATCCTGGATGCGGAGAACAAAGTAACGGCTTGAGTCACTAACTGTTTCCACTGTGATGCCAGGGTACTCGTCCACTGGTGCTTGGGCGAACAGCTCCCCTATAGGTCAGAGCAAAAGAAATATGTTCATTATCTATTTGGCAAAATGGTCCTGTGACAATCTGGCTCATGATGAGTCCCATTTACTAAACCAGGTTTAAAATAGGCTCACTTCTAGTATTCAGATCAAATAAAAAATGGGCAATATAAGGTATAATCTGAGAACAACATGCATGCCAATATTTGAAATGTACTGATAAGAGACAGAAAGACATTAACAGCCTGTTTGCTTCAAAATAAACTGCTTGCTTGGATGTGGGTTGGGTCACCTTGGAATAGATGAGTAACAGAGAGGGGGGATGGCGAACAGGAGACAACACACGGAAATGATTTACATCAGTGGCAGTGCTAGTAAACAAGGACACGGCCGTGTCTGCTTCTTTCTCACCAGAGATTTTGTCTTCCAATTTCACGAAGGCCAGTTTGCCCCGGGCCGTCACACGCATGCGTCCCGTCCAGTCAGGCGCATCCAGCTTCCAATCGGCAGCCCTGGAACATAAACACACAGGCAGTCAGAGAGACAGTGTGATGTAGGTGAAGTGGTGACAGCGGTTTAGGGAGACTGAATTTGCAACGGCGGAGGGGAAGAATAGGCAAGAAAAACTGGATACACTGTGGCTCTGTGCTGGCTGTTTTCTATGTGAACGGAACGTGACTAAAGCACCAGACTGGCATTTCACTGCGACCTAAGGCTGAAATATTACATCATAACCCTTACCCACTGTACATATGGTCACTGGTTAACCAATGGTGTGTCTCGTGGGACTCAGACTTATGCTACTGTTTGGTTGGTGTAATGTCCACTCAGATGCAGCTGTTATGCACCAGCCAATGAAAAATGGGGTATGCATTTCAGTGTCAACCTTTTTAACACAACAGCTAGCCTGCACGGTCACTTTAAAGCATATAAAAGGACGACCCTGTCTTTCAGTTGGATTACCCACTTTAAAAGCCCCTTTGTTGACAAACAGCATCCACCCTGCTGAAGTGTCCTTGAGCAAGACACTGACTTCTTTACAGCAACTGGGATGGTGTTCTCTGTACTGCCTACAGCTTAAAAGGTCAGACAAGCAAAACGAGAATCTCTGGAACAACCTAAAGCATAATTATCGAGATAGTTGTCCCATAAAATCAGTTTGACTTTTAAGCAGTGTTAACATTATTTCTGCCATCGGAGGAAAGCAATTTCACACACGGTCACTGACAGGACCGTGCACAATCCCACCGAGTCCCTGTTTTGTGAGCTACACACACCAACCGTTAGTTACGTACGCTACTTCGCATTCAACGACCTTGTAAATACACAGCAAAAACAGCTAGTATAAAAACTACGGCCACCGTTACTTGATTCTGGGTGATTAGGGGATGAGCTCGGTAGGTAACGTTAAGTCGCCGAGGCAACGGGTCCTAACGGCTGCAGCTCGCGGATGCTGGGCCACAAAACTCGCCGCCAGGCCGCTGCTCCCCCTCACCTGATAGCCCGGTTGGATGCTCTCGGTGGGATTCGATAAACGTTGACTTCGGGTTTGACACAGAGGACCGACTCGTACTCGGACTGACCCTCGGTCGCCATTTTGACTTTTACTCAGTCGGTGCACGCCGGTGGTGATGGTGGTGACGGTGAGTGATGTGTCCGTGCGGCGTTAACGGATACGTGGCCGTAATAGACTGTGTAAATGCGCATAAACTGGCAACCTTGCTTTACTGCTACAGTTTCAGTGATCCTTTTAAGACATAAAGGGCAGTTTACTCAGCATGAGGAGTACTTAGCATGTTTCACCAGAGTAGTTTAAATATATTCATACATACATATGTATAGATATTTAATTTTTTAATATATTTATATATTAATACAGTTTTAAGTAATGTTAGCTAGGCTAACTAACTTGCAAGCTAACATCAGTGCAAGTTCATAAGTTAACTTAATAACACAAGACAATATCTCATTGTATATTATTTTTATTTCAGATTACCATCTTGCTACAGAATCAGCAAGCAGCAGCTACGTAACGTTTCAAGCCTTGCCACAATTTAAAAGCTATTTTTCTCAGTTTTTCTCATTCTCAGTTTAGCAGTTGTAGTGATGGACAAACACAAACATGTCTTTTTCTCTATAGACTTAATGGTAACACCAGAGTAAGGTGTGTTTCACAGTCCAAGAAGCTTGAAGGCATCTCTTAAATCTTCTGTTTCACAGGGCTGAGAAACAAAAAAAGAAAAGAAAACATAGTTATTAGAATTTTATACAAATCATTATTGGTTTGACCTAATCCTGTTGGTGGTAAAACTTCTACCTGGAGGATGCGGTTGAGTTTTCTGGCGAGGCGAACAGAGTTTCGGTGCAGCTCATCCCAGGCCTTGAATTTGCTCTGCTTACGAGCCACAAAGGTCTGCCAGCAGTAGAAGAAGTCTGAAAATAGAGGAAAAAAATATAATAAATTGTTGAGAGTAATCAAGGAAAACAATGGCTTTTTAGGTGGAATTTGGCTGACTTAAACTTAGATAAATTTCTGGCTCTAGAATCATATACACATCTGCTCTCTCTTTATAGCTCTACCACACATACACCAGTTAATGCCTTCACCTTTGTAACTCATGACTGTGATCTGCACGCCAGCTTGTTTCAGCATTCTTAGGCCCTCTCTTTCACGGCTGTCCTCCATGTCACAGAAGTACAGGCGAGATACAAAGATCCTGAGGCGAAGGTTGGGGGTCTGGCTGAGGAACTGGCACAATCGGATGGAGCAGTTGGCACAGGGAGACCAAGAGCAGAACCAGGTGATGGAGTAACTGAGCCTCCTCTCTCCAGTACCTCCACACCCCCACAAACCAGGGCACAAGGCTCCCAGGTAGCGCAGGAACAGCAGCTATGGGGAAATAGGAAAATTGAGAAAATAAGAGAGATAAAATCATTGTATACTTTAAATTGTTATTTTCTTCCTTTCGTTTGAACAAGCTTTTCTCACATGCTCCCCCATATTGACACACTTACTTCTACATGGCAGCCATTACGATTCCGGAGGTGTCCAAAGTCAAAGGATAAGGAATCTGGCCCCACTCGCCTTTTAATTACAAAGCAGAGGTATGTCTCATGCCGGCCCCTTGCCCAGCGCATGTTTTTGTAATGATAGATGAACTTTTTGCGGGGCAAAAGCACACTGACACAAAGAGAGAAAAAAAATATTATTGGTTAATGACATGTGGTGCAGGTAGAGCAGAGACACCCCACCACAGTGGGTACAGTACAGTTTACCTAAAGAACATTAAAAATGTTTTACAAGACTACATCCATTTACAAAAACTTGGTGCTTAGAATTTATCAGTCAATGTTTCATCAGTAATAATGCCATTCTCAAAAGTGTTTTGTGAACCTACATCTTTGGTGACAGGTAATCTCAGTAGTATCTAGCAAAGACATCCATTTTATGCCGGGAAAGTCTGAGACAAATTCTGTTAAAGAACTCATGTAAAAAAAAACAACATTTTAACCTATTATTATTCAGATGACTCATACATGAATTCAAGTTTTAATACAATAAGTTAGCACAATAAACTCATGTAAAATCTGTGGTTAACCAAATGTGAGTGATGGACAGTCAGAAGGCAACTAACATTCACTACTTTTTTTCCCTTACTCTCAGTTTCACAACTTTTAGCGAAACCAGTACAGTTGTTAATCACTCATTAATACTACAACGTAAATTGGTAGTGCTCAAAGGTGGTATACTTATTGCCATAGTAATTGAAAACATAAATACACTGAAAAATATCTAATATTAGTTTCAGACTTAAAATAATTTATAAAAACTTCCTGATTCCCCCCCCCCCATTTAATAGTATGCATGTGTAATCTGTATAAATATGTGTGAAATATATAGTCACATACAACATATGAATAGAATGTATCCATTTTGCTCACCTGTCTAGCTTTGTAATCATTTTGAAAGACGCGCTTTGCTTTGTCACTCGGCGGGCGTGGGTAATAAATGAAGGTAAATGAGAAAGAGCGAAAGTCTGTGTGTGTGTGTGTGTGTGTGTGTGTGTGTGTGTGTGTGTGTGTGTGTGTGTGTGTGTGTGTGTGTGTGTGTGTGTATTGGGGGGTTAAAAGGAGGGAACTGAGAAGATATACCTCTAAACATAAACATCCTGCATACAACAGAGGCAGCTTCTGGTTGGACAGAAAGATTTTGAAAGTAAGTTCAGGGGGCGTGAAACAAAATAGATGGATAGATTGTATTGTCTTGCTGCAAAACAATTACAGCTATACTATAAATGAATTACTCATTTGCCAAGTTCTTTTTAAGGGCCTTGTGGTGTTTTTGAACATTTAGTTCACACATTAGTTCACATACTGATCAAAGTGAGACCACTCCTTTGGTACAAAGCAATAAAGGAATCTTACTGGGGAGGCAGATTACACAACACACATTTTACAAAATAATCGTAGTGAGCACACATGAGAGGAGGAGTGTTTGACGTGATTTGTAACCTTTGGAGTTTTTCACAGACGTCACTAAACTGAGCCAACTGGCTGGAACTTTCCAAACACTTAAGACTCATCCAGTCACTGGCCCCTCCAGTTTGGTTTTCCCAGAACATTAAGTAAAACTTCCAGATACCTTTTCACCTTGATCCACAGTGGGATTGCCACCGACCACTCCTGCTATTCAGCCTTTCCACCTAGCTAGTCCCCCCACTTCCTCGTGGGCCCCAAGATTCGGTGGAGCCATAGGCGTTCCCAGATCTCGGAGGCCCTGACACCTACTTTGTCCTCTGATCTGGGTTTTCCCAAACCGTGTCAGGCTGGGAGCAGAACTGTAATCGACCTCCCTCACCCTACGAGTCTGCTAGAACGGCCAGCCAGCTGACCGACCACAGTGTGTGGATAAATCTTACCCATAAGCCTTTGAACCATCAGATGCTGTCATCCGTCCTTGCCAAATCAGGATGTGTATTATTTTGCTCTCGTCTTTTCTTTGCTCTGTCTGTTTTAGCTCTGGCCCAGTCTGCTCACTCAGTGGCATTGAATGCATGCATCCTGCTTTCCCATGACTCCCCTCACCCTCTCATGCACTCTGTGGTTTGGGGAATTCACCGTTTCCCAGGGTGGCTGTTTTTGGAGCTCATATGTGTGTGTATGTGCGCATGTGTGTGTTAACCATCTGTATGAGCATGTCATTAACACAGTCTATATGTTATACCTCATCTGGAACAAATTTATCTAATATATCCTATGATTGTGTGGTGCCCCAAAATATTTGTGAGTGATTTATGTGTATGTGTGTCGGCATGCCCTGTGTGACCTCACATCATATTGCATTACTCTGACAGTGCACAAAGCCTAGTGTCTCTGCACATTTGATCTTGTGTGCATGTGTCTTTTCTCGACTTCAAGAGGCTGATCAAATGCCAAACTATATGTAACCACTTCCCACCCAGCTCTCTGGGTTTGACCACAGTTGACCAAGGTCATCTCACAGTCACACATGAACGCCCACATGCACTACCACCCCTCTCGTGCAGTGTCTGTGTGTGTGTCTGTGTTGGAGTAGTACAGAATGGCCAGACATGGCTGTGCATTTAACCCGTAGTCAGGGGCAGAAACCGGGTGTAGGAAATGCCAAGTCATACTTTCCGAAACCCACCCGCCCACACCCTGCACACGCGCACACGCGCACACAAACACTCACACAGCCATACCGTGCAGACGCACATGACCACAGTCACAAACAGACTTTCTTTCCAGTGTGTGAATTCACATCTGTTTCCTGACAACAATAATAGCTACAGATCGGGCGGGTAGAGGCCCAGCTAACAGGTGTCTGCTCTTTGGCAGTCATGAAGAAACAGCCTGATGACCAAGAAGTGTCCCCAGTAAAAATACAGCTTTCACAAGGCAAACATGGCCTGACCACACACTTACTTGTGCATGTAACAACACTGCTATCTTGTTACTGGGTGTCTCAGCTTTTTCATCAAAGTTAATTAAAGGACAGCGATTTTCCACTACAGCTTGCATGCATAAGAGTTTGCTGTAAAGTATTGGCCTGTATTTGTCTTCACATCAGGTGAGCTATACCTCTTTCCCACACACATTAACATTGTACAAACATCCTGTGGTGTTTATCTATAGCACAGTGATGCTGCACTGACATCGTGTGAGGTTAGCGGTAGGTAGATGTGCAATGTGAGCGTGAGGGCTGCTAACCATATTAAGGTTAGCCTCAGGCTGGGTCTATGTGCATTTTTCCCCACTTAGTCATATAAACTGCCATCACCTGCAAACCACACACATTCTCAAGTCAGAATACCTATGCATATATTTAAAGTGCTGTGTTAAAATCTGCAGTGCTTTTTTGTTTTGAAATATTCATTTAAAAGTAGATTTAAATGTGTGATTCTGATAAACTCTTTAAGGTCAATTCAATGTTTTCAGGCTAAAACTAACAGTTACTTTTATTATAAATTAATCTATATACCACAGCAAAAGTGATGTCCAGAAATTACTTTTTTGAGACAAGCAGTTACAGTGAGATTTTAAAAAGAATACACATACTTACATTTAAGTTTCAACAAAGTTTGAAACTGTGAATTAATGATTTCCTGTTGCTCAATTATTATGATCATCTGACAGTTTCAGCACTAAAATATTGAGTAAACAACCAACATACTACCATTTCCAACATTAAAGAATGCAGAATTCTCACTTTAAGAAAGAAAACCAAAATAAAAGAACAAGAAAGTGAAGGGAGTGCTGTTTTTGCATACTCATGGACCTGCAAGCTCTGTGAAGAAGAGCAATGGCAGCCAAGGAGTGCAGAAAGATAAAAGCAGAGAAATTCTGCAGATTCACATTAACCACACTTAACTTCCTATACAGTTACTGTACATCCTCCTACACATCTGGATGGTTTTACACATGAACAGATGTGTGTGTGCGCGCACACACACACACACACACACACACACACACATTTTATTGTGTAATGTTTGAGAAAAGAACCACACATTTTACATAAATATTTTATTACATTACAAACGATGACAGAACAGCATGACTGAAGCTTCATGTTATTTTTGAGAAATTCAAAAATTAGCTACCATTTGTTGCAATGAAAAGGAAGAAATACTTTGCATGATGAAAAGGTAAACTTCAAATAAACAGAACTGCAACACATACAGTAAATAAATACTGACATAAATAACACAAATATCTAATAAGTTATTAACTTAAACAAATATCCCAACATGTTCCAGCAATAACACTATCACCTTCGGCAGAGGTACACAGTTTGCATTTGTTATGTCTTCTTTACCTTTAGGCATTCCTGTGCTCAACACGATTTTTTTCTCTCCATGAGTCCATCATCACTCAATTACAGGTCTTTGTAAAACACCTTAGTAAGGGGGTATCCCAGAAAGCCTCTCTCTGGAGTCTCTAAGTTCCTCTCCTCATCTTCTTCATCAGTCTCTTCCCCAAGTTGCTGATAGCCCAGCTTCCTGAAGAAGGCCTCCCCCAGCTTGGAGGGGTAAGGGATGTGTGCGTACACTCTGTGAGCGCCAGTCTCCCTCTCTCTCTGCTCCAGACTCTGGACAAGCAGCCGGCCCAGGCCCTCCCTGCGGTACCAGCTGCCCGTCACCAACCTGCAGATCCTCCTGATGCCCGTTCGATTCTCGCTTTCCCGGAAGATGCAGCCGAGGATGTCACCCTCGCAATCTGCCACCCAGACGTGCCCCGCTGCCTGTTCTCTCTCCGGGGTGACCTTCTCTGTTGATACATCTTTGTCCTTGTCTTTGGGAGCAATTCCGCGCCTTGTCTGAGTAAAGGAAATATGATTATTTGGCTGCAACATTTGGTCATTATAATTAAGTGAAAACCACCTAAGAACTTCCAGCAAACTGGTAAACTAACCCTTTTAGTCACTGGTGTCTTGCCACTGATACTACAGTAGGGATTCTGCAGTGTCTCATCCTGTCCCCCCCTGAAGCTGCTCCCCACATAGTCCCAGTAGGGACGGCTGCTGCCCAGAACCCCTGTGGACCGCGGCATGGTTATCTTGAGAAACACAATTAAGAGGAAGACAGGAATAGCAAGGGCCAGTATAAAGGAATGGACGAGGCAGCGCAGGATTGAGGATAAAACAGCCAGGACAAAGAGGCAGAGTGGACGAGTGAGTATGTGGAGGATGAGACGGTTCTCTGTGCCCTCACAGCCCTCCTGGAGAGTTAAAGTAAAAAAAATGTAATTAAATTATAATCAGCACAAGCCTAACAAGGAAAAGAATATATTCCCAGCACGATTAAAGCAGTCTGTCTGTACAAACCTTGATGAGGGCTTTGACCACCTCTATGTCGTCCTCCTTCATCCTCCTCATCACCACCCGATCCAGCTCCAGCCTCACCATGTTTACACTATATGCTCTACAGCAGGATTGCTGCACCACTGTCTACTCGCAGGCTATCCCAAACTCCAACATCCACACTGTATGCACAGGGACCCTACAAAAACACATTTAAAGAATTTGATCCTAAAATCATGCAGATATCTGATTCTGTTGTCGACTGACACACGGAGTTAGTGCCTTCTTGCAGTATCTATACTATGATAGACCTGAAATGGGTCAACGTGTTACCAACGTTTTTATTATGCAAAGAATAGACTTCGCCGACAGTGAGCCAGTAGTTGCAATGTAACATCACACCCACGATGGCTCCTAACAACAAAAACAGCAGATAGGGATTATGGAGGATTTGTAGCATGCATGTGTCACCATCATTCTGTTCTTGTATAATGCACGCCATTCTAGCTTTCATCTGCAAGTTTAAACAGTGATCTTCATAGGCACAGTCTAAAGCGAAAGGCGTTGTTCAAATCCTTATATGGTTATTACGAAGTGCTGCGGTCTGTCCCGAGTACCGGCACGTTTAGTTCCCCTTTTCTAAACCCCATTTACGCTTACCTTCTGCACCATGCAGCTCAAATTCAAGTGAAAATGGGAAATCCACGCTGTATGTGGCCTACCTCTCAGTTTGTTGTCAAATTCGTTCACGTTTGGCACGTTAAACTGAATGGTCGCAGAGTCTGTTTCTTGCGGAAAGGAGGAATTCTGAGAACTAACGTACTCAATAATTCCACCTACGTCAATTGCGTAATCACAATCCGCACTGCGCACACGCTACGTGAATGGCACACGCTACGTAACAGCGTAAACAACGCTCCAAATGCAATTACCTTGTTTAGTTGTTTTATAAAGCAAAAACTCAAACCAACAATTAAAAAAGGCAAATGATAAAAGGTATTGACAGATTTATTAATAATTAGCTATTTTTTACTATTAACATTATGAAGGAAGTGGGCCATGTACAACATTTATTCACAAAAACATATTTACTTAATAAACAAGCTGCAAATGACAGTCTCATTTAAACTAATATATTTAGGAATATTCCAAGATCCATGTACAGCCTATTTGAATGTATAACATTTCTAGTATGTGGCACCATGGGATTACAAGACAGTACTCATCTAACTGCATGTTCTCCCTCATTTTCAGGAGAACTCAAATTGACTAAAGTGCTAACACACTGAGCCCACAAATAGTGAGGCATTCGCTCACACACACTCTTCTTCTAACAAGCACACTGGTTTTAGTTAGAGAACTGTATCTCTTTAGGGTTAGGTATAGGTCCATTTCTTATTGGGTCTTCAGTAGATGTATATACCTGTGGATTGTCTGTAGAGACGTGTTCCCTTGCAGACTTTTCCTTTGTCTCTGCTGTTACACCCTCATATTTCACCTCACTACTTTGTGACATCTCCCCATTCCCTCCTCTCTCCTCTCTTCCTTCTCTTAAGCTACTTGTGCTGACCTCAATTATAACAATTTCCTCTCCACTTTCCAGCTGAAATATATTTTCCATGGCTCCTCCACCCTCAGTAACACTACCACTTGCAGCATTACAACCTGCCCCTCCTTCTCCCATCATCCCCCCTTCACCTTCTATCAGTGCTATCATCTGCATACCCTCCTCAGTCCCCTGCTCCATCTTGGTCTCACCCCCAAGTTCAAACACAACCTCCTGCCCATCAAGAGGCACCAAACTTTGGGTAGGTGTGCAGGAAAGCTGCAGGCCGGTCTCTTGCCCTTGACTGAAGGTAGCACTGGATGGACCGCTGTCCTGTGCCTCAGTGTGGAAATGAAGGACATAAGACTCTCCCTGGCTGCATTCCTCTCCTGCCTGTCCCTCTCCCTGCTTTTCTCCACCCCATTCACGCAGAAGTGACATCATCCCTCTCTTATCTCCCCCCTTTTCTCCTTCACCTTGTCCATTTGTCTCGAACTGCAGCACAAGTGATTTTCCTTCCCCACCCACTCCTCTATCCCCTGCCTCTCCTGATGCCTCCCCTTCAAACCGCAACACGTATGACTCCCCACCCTCCTCAATATTCATCCCCTCCTTTGCCTGTCCTTCATTATCAAAACATAACACAAACTGTTTCCCTGTCATGGTCTCCCGTGTCCTTATTTGCCCCACAGTGGTATTAGGGTTCCTTTCTGGATTGGCTGGGACAGGAATAGAAACTGATGCTGTGGCTGATGTAACCATGGTAGTAGTGGATGGAGGTCTTGAGGTGTCCACTGTGGGGGTTACAGTTGTGGAAGATGAAAGAAGAGGGACAGTGCAAGATGTTGACAGAGGACAGTAGGACACTGTGGACGACTCTGTGGTAATAGTCTCTGTAACACTGGTCACATTACAGTTTGTTATTGACAGAGCTCCACCTGCAGTCTGACTGACAGGAGCTGCTGCAGATTTCTGAAGAGTAGCTTTTGGTTTGCGCCCCCGTCTGCCCCGTGCTGTCCGTGTGCTTTTCCCTAATATAGGCTTGGTTAGTAGGGAGTTGGCTGAGAGCGTGTGTGTTGGCGGGGCAACAGGCATGTTTGCATTGTTATTATTGTTGGTGATTATGATCCTGGTCTGCTGTTGCTGTTGTGATATGGTCGGAAACTGAGGCATCTGAGTCTGTGTTTGGTTTAGGACGGGCTGGATGGCTTGAATAGTCTGAAGCACAGGGAGGGTCTGAGGCTCCAGAGCTGGTGGAGGGTTGTTAGCCGTGGGGACGAGAATCAAGCTGGACTGGCTGCCATTGTTAGAGGGGCACTGTAGAAGGTAGAAGTTTTGGGGCTGGGACGGAGGTGGTGGAGGAGGAGGAGGCGGAGGTGGTGGCGGGGCTGGTGGAGGGGACGAGAGAGGAATGAGCTGCAGGCCGCTGGCTGTCTGAATCATAAAGTAGTTCTGGGAGGTGTTGGGGGGGATATTAAGTGCTGGCTGGGACACAATCAGGCTGCCATGGTTTCCTGATGTTTCAAGGGTGATGGGGTTGAGCAGGGTTGTGGTGGTTGTTACTCCCCCAAGACTGGCTTTCACAGCCACTCCATCTTTACTTCCACCACCAGGGCAGGGCAGGGGAACACCACTGCCATGGGTACGGATGTGCCTCTGCAAGTAGGAGTGCATCACAAACTCCTTAGAGCAGTACGGGCATTTGAAGTCCTTACTGGAGGAGTGTGTGCGAAGGTGGAGCTGGAGGTTGGAGGAGTGTGTAAAGCTTTTATTGCAGTGTGTGCACTGAAAGGGTCTCTCACCAGAATGGGTGCGTTCATGCTGTTCACAGAGAAATAACAAGAGAAGAAAAAATGTTTATGAGATAAGGGGGAGCTACTCAATATAAACAGCTGAAAATCTACAGGAGTTCATAGCTGCATCTGTACAGGATGTACTGACCTGTTTGAGGTTTGACGTCTGGGAGAAAGACTTTGAGCAGATGGAACAGGTGTGAGGCCGCAGTCCAGAGTGCATCTGACCATGTCTACGAAGGCAGCTTGTGTTCTTGAAGGACTTGCCACACTCCTTACACACATATGGTCTCTCGCCTGTATGCTGCCGCAAGTGGTACTGGTAGTGAGAGCTCCATTTGAAGGTGAGAGGGCAGTGAGGGCACTGGAATGCCCGAACACCTGTGTGTACCTGGGTATTGTGAAAGTGAAAAAAATAAACGCAATTTATACGATTTCAAGTTTGTTTGTTTTTACAGGATCTAGCACTCAGTTGTATTTATAGTACAAAAACTATCTGCTGGACAAGTGTGTGGTTGTTATTACATATTTAAATGTTCATTGTAGTTAAGTAAAACTTAAGTATAGAATGAAATTAAATCTATTGGTCCCATTTAATTTTATTTTTTTCCACTAAGAACTAAATGTAGCCATGGCAACAAGAAAACATCGAAATGTGTGAGTAATGCAATCAGAAATCACACTATTGTCACTTGTGTTGTGCAGTAACAGCCACTTAGTCTCAAGAAAGTAACTGTAACTGCAGTGTGTTACTCCGTTAAAGGGAGTATTTATTGCTTTTTGGATTTGTCTGTTTAAATTGCATTCATCTGCAGCGGTGTGAACCATACTAGACAGCTGCTGCTCCTGTAAACTAGAGATTTCTTAAGTTATGCTGTGACATGAATATCAAATTTTGCTTCCAAATGATGGCTCTCTCATTTGGAAACTTAAGCCATACCCTCTGATGAATTGAAAGCAGTGACGACCTCTTGAAGCTTTTTCCACATTCAGTGCAGCGGTAGGGCCTTTCCCCAGTGTGATCCCTCATGTGGTATTTTAGACCCGATGAACCTTTGAAGGCTTTTCCACACTCTGAACAGCGGTATGGCCTCTCTGTAAGAAAGTGTGTGAAATTAAAAATGACATAGTACAGTATCTCACAAAAGTGAGTACACCTCTCACAGTTTTGTAAATATCTGATTATATCTTTTCATGTGACAACATTGAAGAAATGACACTTTGCTACAAAGTTAAGTAGTGATTGTACAGCTTGTGTAATAGTGTGAATTTGCTGTCCCCTCAAAAATAACACATCACACAACCATTAAGGTCTAAACCGCTGGCAACAAAAGTGAGTACACCCCTAAGTGAAAATGTCCAAATTGGGACCAATTAGCCATTTTCCCTCCCCGGTGTCATGTGACTCGTTAGTGTTACAAGGTCTCAGGTGTGAATGGGGAGCAGGTGTGTTAAATTTGGTGTTATCGCTCTCACAGTCCCTCATACTGGTAACTGGAAGTTTAACATGGCACCTCATGGCAAAGAACTCTGAGGTTATGAAAAAAGGAATTGTTGCTCTACATAAAAATGGCCTAGGCTATAAGAAGATTGCCAAGACTCTGAAACTGAGCTGCAGCACGGTGGCCAAGACCATAAAGCGGTTCAACAGGACAGGTTACACTCAGAACAGGCCTCGCCATGGTCGACCAAATCCAGAGGTTTTCTTTGGGAAATAGACGTATGAGTGCTGCCAGCATTGCTGCAGAGGTTGAAGGGGTGTGGGGTCAGCCTGTCAGTGCTCAAAAAATATGCCGCATACTGCATCACATTGGTCTGCATGGCTGTCGTCCCAGAAGGAAGCCTCTTCTAAAGATGATGCAGAGTTGCTGAAGACAAGCAGACTAAGGACATGGATTACTGGAACCATGTCCTGTGGTCTGATGAGACCAAGATAAAGATTTGGTTCAGAAGGTGTCAAGCATGTGTGGAGGCAACCAGGTGAGGAGTATGGCGGTGGGAGTGTCATGGTCTGGGGAATCATGAGTGCTGCCAGCACTGGGGAGCTACAGTTCATTGAGGGAACCATGAATGCCAACATGTACTCTGACATACTGAAGCAGAGCATGATCCCCTGCCTTTGGAGACTAGGCCGCAGGGCAGTATTCCAACATGATAACGACCCGAAACACACCTCCAAGATGGCCGCTGCCTTGCTAAAGAAGCTGAGGGTAAATGTGAACTCCATGCCCAAGAGGGTTAAGGCAGTGCTGGAAAATATTGACACTTTGGGCCCGTTTTGGACATTTTTTACTTACATCGTGTGTGTTCTGCTTTGAAAATGTCTTTACCTCCAGCAGGAGTGCTCTTGTTGGCTCCTGTCTTTTTTGGGGCTTTGGTTAATTTGGCCGGTTGTTCCTCATGCTCCTCACCGACAGTTATGATGTCCACATGGATCTCCCTCTGGCCTTCCTGCTGCTTGTCAGCCTGGCTAGGGGAGGAGGGAAGGGGGAGAGACAGGGAAAGGGAAGGAGGGCACACTATCTCTGCCTCTGCCTCAGCCAGGAGACGTTGCTCAGGGGTGTGGGAGTGTTGGTGGGTGAGGAGTGATGAGAGAAGGGGGAAGGAGCGGTCGCAGGCGGAGCAGCTGAACTGGGAGCGGGATTGCGAGGAGAGAGAGTGCATCTGGACAAACAAAAGGGGAACACAGGAAGCAAAGATTATTAATAAATCTCAGTGCTGTAATTTGTATAACAGTCTTAGTAGAAGGGCAATTACAACAGTCATTCTCACCAGTGACACATGTCTATTGAGGCCTCCACTGGTCTTGAAGGTCTTATTGCAGTAGCCACATGACAGCCCTGCCCATGTGGTTCTGGCCTCCGGCTGAACGGTCTCAGGGCTCTGAGTCACCTCGGTGAAGCTCTGCAGCAGGTCAAACTGGGCCTGGGTGGTGCCCACACTCTGAGGACAAACCAAATGAAATAACAAACATTAAAAAACGTATCTTCAGATTGAACTCAATCACTTTATAGGGCAGGTAGATATGTGTTTAAAAACATTAAAATTAGATCATATAGACAGATGAGTGTCTAGACCTTCAAGAATACTTCATTCTTTTACCACATTACAAACAGTGGATATACTGTACATCATACAACTTAGTCTAAAAATCAGACTGAATTGCTATTGTTTCATTTTATTAGTTTAGCCTGAAATTCTGTTTGTTGCTTTTTAGCTTCATTTGTTGTCCTTAAACCAATCAGCAGCGAGTGATGTATCCCTTATGCTAACATCATTTTCAATTGACACAGAAGCTGCAGCTGCTAGGAGCAACGTTTGTCACACTGATTAAAGAAATGTGTCAATCTGTAAATTGACATGCATCTCATCCACACTGGCCATTTTTCATGAATGTAGCTAGGTAGCTAGCTAGCTACAGCTACAGCTGTGGGAAGATGACGCCCCCATTTCTAATCCCACCTAACCTCTGAGACAGCCATCAGTGACCACAACATCAGACATATTTTAAATGCTGAACAAATCTGAGAAGTGGGGGGATGATTCAAAGGTCTGGAACCAGGCTACATACAACCCCCCAAGACCTGATTCCCTATCTAAAATACTGTATTTTACTTCACTTTTCTTTTAATTTAATGTGGAAGGGCTTTATTCTTACTGCATTGCTGCCATCTGCTCCTTCTGTCAGTCCAAGGAGCACCTCTGTTGTGTGTCCATTTTCAGCCACTGTGGTAGTCTCAACCACCTCCTCAAAATCAGCCAGCAGGTGACCAGCTCCCACCAGCCCATCCCCAACCTCCATCCCTGCCCCAGGCCCCGCCTCCGCACAGGCCCCGTGATCGTCTGGAGCCATGTGGATGGCCTGGTGATCCTCTAGATCTGTTCGTGTGCCAAAGGTGTGGCTGCAGCTGCCACAGCTGTAAAGCAGCACACTGGCCCCGGTGTCTGTGCTCAGGTGAACCTCTGTACCGATGGCCCTAGATGTGCACACGCCCTCCCCAGAGGAGGTGAGGGTGAGCTGGGGGAGAAGGCTCGGATTCTGGCTGGATGAAGTGGTTGACAGGAACACTTCTTCCATCCCCACGCCCACTCCATCAGTTCCTTCCTGGCTCACAAATCCCACCATGTCAGTCAACATGGATGATGTTACTTCCTCTGCCCCTACCACCACCTGCACTACCTCATTTATCCTCCTTGCGTCGTCTCCCCTCTTTCCCTCCTTCCCTCGTGCATTGAAGTTGGAGTGTGAGTTCTTGTGCAGGGCCAGGTTTGACGAATGTGTGAAGCTTCGTCCACACTCACTGCAGATGTAGGGCCTCTCCCCTGTATGTATCCTCATGTGCTGCCTCAGGTTGGTAGACTGAGTGAAAGATTTGTTACACACTGAACACGTGTAAGGCTTGAGACCAAGGTGGACATTCTTGTGTCGCCGCAGACTGCTTGAGTTCTTGAAGGCCTTGGGGCAGGTGTCACAGGGGTATGGACACTCTCCAGTGTGCTGGCGCAGGTGATATTGGTAATGAGAACTCCATTTAAAGGTCAGGGGGCAGTAGGGGCACAAGAAGGCACGCACTCCAGTGTGGACACTCTGATGGACCTGGAGATAAGACACAGATAGATAAGCATTTCTTTTTCCCAGACAAAATCTCCGTTTATAAAAATGACTTTGTTTGCTTTCTCACCTGGAGCAGAGAGGAGCGTTTGAAGGCTTTGCCACAGTCCTGACATTTGTAAGGCTTATCCCCTGAGTGTGACCTGCAAAGGAAAAGCAACTACTCAGGAAGATATCACAATAAATTTTATACATAATGTCATTACAGGTTTGATGCATTATCAGTATAGTAATACACTGCAAAACTTTCTTTTGTGATACAATCCTATTCATTGTCACCAAGTATAGCTGTTTTTATTGAAGATAATGAATATAGCTTTTACATAGTCCACACTACTTTGAGTTTCCTGTAGTTTACCTGAATTTGAACAGTTGGACCAAATACAATTGAGGCAGAGATGGGTCCAGCTTTTCTCTTTGAAAGTCTGGCAGTTGAAGATACAATCACAACACTCCTGCCCTGCGAATATTTACTTTTTCTCCTCTTCACTTCAATACATAAAATACTTCTAACAGCTTCAGGACACTCTTTTCTAAGTGTTACACTAATAAGGATGGTAAATGCAATTATATCAGAGGTACCGTTGGTGGTAGAGCAGAGCAGAGGAGCCTTTGAAGGCCTTGGGGCAGAGGTTGCAGCGGTATGGTCTCTCATTGTTGTGGCTCCGCTGGTGGTGGGTCAGCCTGGACGACCACCTGAAGCTCTTGCCACAGTCCATACACTGGAAGGGATGGTCCGACTGCTCAGGCTGCTGCGCTTGGCCTGACACTGACGACGTCACCATGTCCAGGACCACCTCTTCCTCGCCCTCTACTACTCCCTTGTCTCCATCCACCAGCTCCTCTCTGTCCCTGTCATCCTCACCATCCTCTCCCGAACCAAGAAGAGATGGGAAAGGAGAGAGGGAGGCAGTAGACTGAGACGGTAAGAGTTCTGCCTGGACCACTAAGGCCACTGAGTTAGCCATTACCAGGGAAAGCTGGGAGAAGATAAAGGTACTCCGTGGCAGTGGGTGTGTATCAGTTTGGGTGCAGTATCATGGTTTTTCTTTCATCTTTCCTTCATTCATGTTCTGTGTATTTTAATAAATTCCTTCTTTGTCAGCCACTGGAAACACCAGCTGTCATCCCAAGTAGACAGCTCAGGACAGGTCTGACTGGAAACAAATATACAGTATTATAACTTGGTAACTCTTGGTAGGAATGTCCCCTTTAAATTCCACCCGCTGCCCTCCCTCCCTCCCTCCTGCTGTCTTTCCTCTGGCCGTCAGTCAGTTTCTGTCCGTCCCCGCAGTGCGGTGCTTACTAGCAATAAATATACACACACACATATATATATATATATATATAGCTAAGTTACACATAAAGCTGTCTAAGTGTATTCAAATGTAACCGGTCAGCGGTGGAAGCCGAAAGACAAAAAAATATCAGTTTTTACAGTATCAACAAAAACAGCTCCGGGCCTTCTTTTAAAGCTAATCTAGCCCTCGTCAATGCGGAAAAGCGCCATATAACTGCCCGATAAAGATGTGTATGATTACAGGCTGAAGTAGTACTCACCGAGCATCTTTAACTCATCATAAAGCTATCTTGTTGATATTATGAAAATGGACTGGGTACCGCAGTGCTAATCCACACAACCTTAACAATAAACACAGCACAAACTAACAGCAGTCCTCCGCCCGATGCCGCCTTCTAAGAACAGCGACGGTGATTGGCTGTTTGCGTCAATATATTAGTTACTACTATTGGTCAGGAGATTCAACAGACAGATTGACATTTTTAAATGTCACTTTAAAATATTTCTGACTTCCAAATTTGAGGGAGAGCACTTATTGGTTATGTATATACACTCCAAGGTCGTCAAAAATCATTTATAAAGCTTAATCGCAATGGTTACTTACCAGTTCTATTCACTTTGGCGCATAGACCTCTGGGTAATGTAGTGTCTGCGTGTATCTGTCAAAGTTACGTTTCAGGTTAGGTGGACCACGGTTAAATATACTTAAATCCATTGTGCACATTCTTTCGTATTTATTTCACCAAGGCACATATTTCACATTGAGGCCAATCAGTGTGTGGAAGAGGCATCTTGATGTTATAATAATAATTTAAACATGATGGTATAATAATAGTAAATATGAAAAAAAAACTGTATAAAAGTACAAAAACATAGGAGGCTTGCTCCACTGCAGCACAAAATAAATAGTTCCACCACTTTACTTAAATAAATAGTCAATACTGTAACAAATACTACAATAGGAATGAACAAAAAATATAGTGATAAAATTGGTAAAGTAATCTACATTATATTGTAGAAAACAACATAATACACAAAAGCACATGTATAGAGCAATTTACATTCTTGTACACTTATGTACACCAGTACAGAACATAGTGTCACAATACATAGTATTTTAAGGCTTTGGGTGTTTAACTAAAAAAATCTTTTCTACCCAAAAGCACAGGTTCAAAATCAGCCATCTCACTCATCCAAGAGGCTAATCCTAACAGGTTTGTGCAAAGAATCTAATCCGGTCCATCAGTGCTCAGCAACAGGGCACATTCAAATAACTTTACCACAATGTTAAATATGCCTCCTCATTCAGAATGCGACAAACAGGCATCTAAAATGGCAACTCTGCCTGTGGTACAAAAGAAAGCATTTACTTCTCTTCGATTACCATCTTGACATTTTCAGATGCAATGCAATCAATTTCAAAGGCCATCAATTGATATGTTAAGACATGGCACATTTAACATTGTAACTAAAATGGTTACTTTAAGGGCACTGTAAGTGAGAGATAGTGAAAACCTTGGCCATCCCGAATATATGCTACATCTACTGGAAGAAATATTCGCTGAAGAAAGACACAAATGCAAAGTAGCATACGTTTGTTTAAACAAAAGTCATTATCAGAGCTATAGGTTCAGGAAGTGCTACTGTGTTTTGCTTGAGGATCAGTGAGACACAAGACAAAAAGAAAGATTACAGAGATTTAAGATTACTGATGAATTCACGTTAATACAGAAAATAAAGATGGAAGTGACACATTACAACTTCAAATAAATAAAATTAAATAAATTACTAACAGTCAATAAATAAATAAATACATAAATAACATGGTCATGAACAAGGCCTTAATGGGGAGAGTTTAGGGAATCATGTAGTTAAACTGGCTTTTAACGGGGATCTTGACGGTTGTAACTGGCTGCAGTATTGCGCATCCTTATTGGCTCTGATGGAAAGACACATTCTTCAACACACATGTCATTATTTGACATTTGGGCCTCCTATAGGATGCTATTGACAACAGTGCACACTGACATGGTCCTAATTCCCCTTTGGCTGACGCTGGACTCCACGTATCCTCACTGGCTCTGTAGCCAAGTAGTTAAAAGGAAAATAATTAATGTGCTTGGATCATCATTGCACTGCAGGGACCTTTGGCTTGAGGCTGACGAATGCTCTGTATGCCCAATCACAAAAGAGCTTGAAGTGTTGGAGAAGCTCATGGCTCGACTGCAGGACATCAAACTGATAGGGTAGATGAGGGGGGAGGGACGGGGTCGCCGGAGTCAGCCTTGGTGCTTCAACTTTCTGCATCTGTAGGTGAGATTAAAAACATTTATTTATTGCAAGGTAAATTTTAAAGTGATAGCAAACTGTTGTAGAAAATGACATGATTTCCTGCTAAAATGTGCATGTAACATTATAAAATGAAACACTGAAGGCAACTGAGGAAAAGGAGAAACTCTCTTTACCTGACGGTGCAGCAGGGTGATAAGAGATTTCATCTCTCTGATCATCTCTACAAGCTTGGGCACTGCAGGGTGGTGGTGCTTCTTTGAAACCCTGTTCAGCCACTCAAAGTGGTGCTCATACAGCTTCAGGTCAGCATGCAGCTGAGAGAGTGTGGGCTTCAGCTGGAAACAACACAGACATACTTTAGAGACTTAGCATGGGTGTGGCAAAATCTAACTGTGTGAATAGAAACAGACCATCCCCTCTCCCTTCACAAGCATGCACAAACACACAGCCACGCACAAACACATTATCAGAGCATTACCTCAAGATTGTTGAGGTCATTGGCTGATCTGTTGCTCATTTCTGGCAGGGACCTGAACCTGTGGGGCTCCACGTCTGAGTCAAATGCATGCTCCCTCTGTGGATAAAGAGAAAACAAGACACAGAGCAGCCCGTTAGTAATTTGCATCAGCGCAATTTCACTCATTCTGAGACAAGTCACGGCAACATGGGAAAGTATTAGTCTAGCACCTCGATTGGATGACTCTTTTCTGTGCTTAGAGACAGTAGCTCTCACTGAGGGGAGTGTGGTTGATTGGGTCAGTGTGAGTTCACCCACATTCAGCCACCCCAAATGTCAACAATAAGAGCAAATGACCTGAACCCACAGGATGTTTTCTACAGGGATAACAACATATGCAGTGACTAAGAAAGCTCCAAGTGGGACAGACAACACAGGGCTGTAGGGAAACTCCAGGGTCACAGCTATAAAAAGATGGAATGACGCAGTGCTGCTGCCCAGCTAGTTGTGTTGTAAACTAAGTCCAGAGGGCAGATGTAGTGCTCTTCATGGCCACTAGAGGGGGATAAACAACCTGACTGCCTGTTTATGGAGTTGTACCTTACAAAGGCAGCTGTGCTCTTAGGTGGTACAATGTAGTATTAAAGATGTACGCCTGATTCAGTAATGAATGGGGATAAATGGAGATGACTGATGTGCCATGCGTCATTTCCACTCAGAAGAGGAACATAACAACATTAGGATGATGAGTGCTGAGAAATGTTTTGTGTAAACAGGTTGTGTGTGCTTAATGCTTCCTTAACCTGTTATGCAGTGTTTTCCTTGCTTTGCTGTTTGCCTCCAGTTGTTTGTGTTGATGTTTTTATGTGATGAATGTGCCACATTGTCTCGCATGTCTCTCCATCAGCCTTTCATAATAGCTCACTTATGTTTGTGGTCCAATGTTTTGTCTCCGTTTGCTTTTGTCCCCTTCCATCCCTTGCTTCCCTACCCTCTCCTCTCTCTCCCATTTCCTCTCTGTCTCATACCAGGTGCACAAGCACATACAACATCACGTGCACATGTGCATGCATGCACACACATACACCACTAGCTTGTCATCTAGTTGGCTCTCTGATCTCTTCATCTCTTGTGGTTTTTGCTCCATCTTTCTCAGTCTTTAATTCTCCCTCTTATCCTCCTTTTCTTGCTCTCTCCATCGTAGATCATGACCTCACCCGACAGAACTTAGCATCCAGCCTTTTCTTCCTGAATGCAAATACTGGAATGTGATAAATCTTTTTGATTTTTATCAAGTCACTTTGCTGTGGCGACCAAAAGCAAAACACTAAACACAGCACCTACACAACCATGACTATTTACAGAACCCTCAATGCAGACACACACACAGCCACAAACATGCATACACACAAATGCATGCACACATAAACATATTTGCACCCATACTATATGCATGCAAACACTCACACATACGAGTTGCGTTGGAAAACTTATATAGACCTATGTGTGTGCACACACACGTCTCTCTCTTTAAAGCAACAGTTTTATTGCTTTTTTGCAGGGACTTTCCATGGATTCCCATTCTATTTATCTTTCCTAACGTTGTCCTCGCTTTAGTGGAATTCCACACAATAAGGAAAGAAAATTAAAAATAAATCTTCCTTGTTACTGAACACTGTGTAATACTGTCCCCAACACCCTTTGATAATGCCTGTTTGTTCACATCTGGGTGCCAGGTTAGACTGCTGCTACACAATAGCCTGTAACATTGTTTTAAATAAACAAACCCGCGCGCACACACACACACATACACACATTATGAACACTATCTTCTGGCTAAGACTAGAGAGAGTATGTGGCTATTTTTGATTTTATCCCCTGAACAAAAGAGTTTAAAGATTTGCATAATGCAAAAATAGAATCTAGATCAGTCAGGTGTAACCAAAGATGCAGAGATATGACCCCGCTTTCTTTTCACCTGTTAAAACACACTGTTGATACACAATCACCAGCTGGTTCTCAAGTTCTCAAATCTGATTTTCCTACCAACTTGACTGTCAACAAAATGAGATTTCGGGCCAGAGTTGTCAGTACGGTGCAAGTGATTCACATTTCATTGGAGAAAAAACTCCTCCAACTCCATCCTCACTTCCACAGTCAAGCCGCAGAACATAAACATGTTTCTATGTAAACAGGCATGTGATATACTTTGCTGTCATTTCACAGATGGTATGCTTGGCAGTTGTGCGTTAGCTGGATGCAGACATGGTGTTGATATGTAGTTCTAAATTTGTCTTGATGGGAGATATTAAACTGATTCCTAGAACTTTTTGTTTTGCTTCTCTTTTCCCTTCACCACCTCAAGTATTTTGCTATACCAACGCTGTAAATGTGTGTTCATTCTCCTTAATTCCATAACACATTGATTCATTTCATTGCACACTCACTGAACTGGATAAAAGCACTGGCCCAGCCACCAATCTTCCTGGTGCCACCACTAGTCAGGTGACCAGGCAGACCAGGAGGTTGCTGAGTCAGACCTCCCCTCCCTTCTGAGTCTAGCGTGGATTAAAAGTGAGATCACTCAGTCAAATCTCCCCTGAGGCTTTTGCTGCCCTGATCTAAGCATGCAGATGGACTCCAGCCAGTCTGTCATCAATGAAAGCAGCTTAAGTCAATCTCAACTCCTGTGCAAACCCAGTGTAGTTCAGCCAGGACAACGGAGCAGAGTGCAGACTTTGTTGTGCTTAGAGGAGGAGGAAGGTAACCTTAACACTAAAATCCAATTAAGGGAAAGTTCAATGAGGACAGGCTGTGACCGGCATCCTCTTCCACAATCACACTAACAATTCAATTAGCATAGGATAGTTAGGGCCTCATTAGCCTCTCCTCCAATCAATAGCTGAGAATGGTAATCATCATGACGTCATGTTCACTTACCAGCAGCTCTTGGGTGAGCTTCATTAGATTTTTGGTCTGATTGGACAGTTTATCCATGTCTGTGGGCCGCCGCTGTGGTACCGGAGAGGCAGACGTGAACACAGGCAGCTGAGCCAATAGCAGTGAGAAGAGGAGGGATGAGGAGGAGTCGAGCAGCACTGTAAGGGTAGAACAAAACAGAAGCAATTAGTGGAGAGGCGCTGTCATCTCGCCATAATGATAATGACCTCAGGCCGAGGCTGTCAGCTCCAGGGAAAGATATTGCACCATAATATAAACAATAGCTCCAGACTTGGCAGAGGAATCCTTAAGAGCTTCAGTGTCAGAGTCATGTTTTCACAGGCTGAATGCAAATCATTAAATCATTAAATGCTGAGCTTTGACAAAGAATATCACCATCACTCCTTCACCATAAGCAACGCAATGAATGCTGCTGATTGTCACACCTGCAACTGGATAGGTACTTGAGTTGGTGGTATGAATTATATGGACCCAGCCAAGTCAACTCTCTAACAGTAAGCTCATTCATTCTTTTCCTTTCAAGTTCAAATACAAGGTAGACTAAGTATTAAAAGGGGACCACAGTGGTGTTGAAATGATGAATGCTTGATAATTACAGGTGAACCACAAGAATCACTGCCAAAATAACACTGCAGGAGCATCTGAGCTTCCTGTCCTAGTGTAACTTTTACAGTTTAGGGATCAACAGAGAATAAAATTGTCCATACTGAATGTCAAGGCAATTGTTTGGAAATCATCTAAATAAATGATTTATTTTAATCTGTATTGGAACGATAAAATATCTGTCAACAGTCAGAAAGCCTAAACGTTAGCCTATAGACCCACAATTTAAAAATCGCCCGTTTAGTAATAATATAGGCCTATAACAAAGCTGTAACATAAATGATCATTAATAACTGAACGAAATAATGAACATAAAATACATACAAGACTTACATTTCATAATGTTTCGGATCCAAGGGGTAGTTAAACCAGCAAACAAACGTGGATAAATAAATAAATTGAAAATTAATAAATAAATTGAACTCCGGAAATTGTCACGTGCTCCGGTTCCTTCTTCGCACTCTTCAAGTCAGAGTGAGGAGGAAAGTTGTCAGGTCGAGAGAGAATGAATGAGAGAGCAGAGTGATGACTGAGGCACTCAGAGAGAAAGGAAGGTAAAAGTCAATATCGCCAAACTTTTTCTGTCTGTGGTAAAAGTTTGAGATGAGCCCCTTGTAGTCTTTATGGAGTGCTGAAGGCAGAGAGACACTTGGACAGTTTGGAGAGAGAGAGAGAGGCAACAGAAATGCAGAGAGGGATGCGAGTGTGGTAGGCTAAGTCCAATTTTTGCGCGCAGTGAAGTGTTTAGGCTTGTTTAAAACTTCCTTTATAAAGACGTCGGGCCTATGACACATCGGCAGTGACTCACTTCATTCATAAAAACACACACACACACACACACACACACACACACACACACACACACTGAGAGACACACGCTCTCTCTCTCTCGCGCGCGCGCTCTCTCTCTCCCTCCTCTCTCTTTCCTCCTCCCCTCCCTGCTGCCTGCTCTGTCTCCCTTTGCGAAACTTAAAAAAAAATGTTCCGTTGTTTTTTTTTCTTTCCTCTATCACTTTCTCCCGTCCCGTCCTGTCGCTATCTCCAGCACTTCCTCCGTCGCATCCAGCTACCTGCGCCAATCAGTCCCATCTACCTACTTTTTATCTTTCCATCTCCAAATCTCTTCCCCTGTCTCTCTCTCTCTCTCTCTGTCTATCACTGCAGACGTTTTAAAAAGCCCATTGTTTTCATGTGTATCAGCATATCTCATGTAACCATGTATCTTTCAGAGCCTCTAGTTTTACCTGCCCTTTCTTTTTCTTGTGCTGGCTGGTGTTATGTGCCCTATTCAAGGGTGAAATGTCAGGGAAAGTGTGTTTTTTAATTTATGTCAGGGTCCTGTTAGACTACACATGCCACATTCCCTGTATTACAGCTAATGCGCACAGCAAACACCTTTTCTCTCCCGTATTTCACTCCCTCCTTTTCTCACCCCTTGCTCTTTTTTTTCAGAGCCCCTCCTGAGACAGCAGCCTGTTATTTCCACTGCCCCCCCACCCACCTCCTCTCTTTTTTTCACTCCTTCTCTCCCTCTCCAGGGTGAAGGAAAGAGTGAGGAGTGAGAGACGGATAGGAGCAGGAGAGAGGTGTTGTCCAGACCAAGGGGCCTCTGAAAGTGTTGCATAGAAACAGTAAGCGGACACACATACACACACACAAACACACCACAGGACATTCACACAGACACACACCTGAAGGGTAGGGGGTGATTGATGGGGGTCAATACAGCAGACACACACACACACACACACACACACACACACGCACACACAAAACATGCATGTGGATGCACACACAACATGCGCTGTGTCATAGGAAAACATGCTGCTCTAATAAATGAAAACACACCAAAAAGACATTTTCTAGTTTAGAAACACACACTCTGATACACGAGGAAACATAACCGTCTAGTGTACACACATCAACATGATTTCTCACACTCTGTATGTTTCTCTCCCTGTCACACTCACACACACACGAGAGCAGAGCAAGGCAGCCTGGAAACACTCAGTCAGGTGCAGTAAAGCGTGGCCTACTATATTGAAAAGGCCAAAAATTTGTTTCCAGTCATCACAGAGGGACAGTTGATGCATCATACTGTACACACACTGTATATTAACAAGAAAGTCAATAAGTGCGTTTACATCCACCTATTTTTGCGCACGTTTTAATTATAACACCTGAGTGGAAACCCTCAAAATATCATAGCAACGTTTTTAAGGTTTGACTGGCATTCAAAAGTTGGTGTGACGATTAAAGAAAATGCAACACAGTGCCAGACGTAGCCAATTAATCATAATGCACACAAAGCAGGTGACTTGAAGCTTCCAGTCTGCTGATGAGAAGAAAGAAGGCAGCAGACGAAAACATCAGATCTGCGGGCAGCAGTGACTGTAAGCCCCCCCACCATTTGAAGTTTGACTGGCCCCATCTTCTTCTGCGATGGTATAATGGCACCGGATTGGGCGATCAGGGCCTGTAAATCTGGATGAACCAACTCTGGATATTTGTATAGGAAACGCACATAAATTAGCATTGTAATTTTTTTTTTGTTGCTACATTTGGATGGAGACCTGACTACAGACACACACACACACACACGCACACAGACACGCACAGAAAGAGAGCAAGCAAGCATGAGAAGGGGGAGACCAGGGAAAAGGAAGAAAGCGCTTTAGAGTCTGGGTGTGAGATTAGGAGACCCTCATTCACAGACATACACTCATGGTGTGGTTAGAAAATAATTAGTGGTGGGCCTTGCATGCGCACATTCGCACACTCATACACATATACACACAGAGTTGCCAGTCCGGTGGTGGGCCTACACAGACAAACAAACACCCTCCAAATGATGAGGGCCTGGTGGCAGTGAGTGGGTGGCGCAGTTGTTGTGGTGAAAAAGGGTCACACACTGTTTTCTCGGGTCAACAGTAGAGAAGAAAAGCAGGGAAAGGAGGAGAGCAGGAGAAGACGGAGAGGGAATAGATGAGTGTGGTTGGACGTAGGGAGATATTGACACACTGGCTCTTTTTAATTTCCCACATCAAAGGGCCGTTTGAAGACACAGCTGGGGAGAGAAGAAAAGAAAAAGTGAAGTTAGTCACTCTCCCTCATTCCCTCTCTGGGCTGCCTCTCATGATGGGGGTCTCCTGGGTGGTTCTGAAGCACAGTCTTCTGTTAGGCCATCCGCCAGCGCAGATCACACACACTACACTGGGTGGGTGCCCTTTAAGTGTGTGTGTGTGTGTGTGTTTGTGGCAGTGTGTGCGCACATGCATCAGTGCGCAAAAGAAGAACAGTTATGTATCTTTGTTTAGACATTTGTTTTTTGTGTGAGAAAGCGAGCACACATTGGTGCATGCCTGTTGGAAAAGGGGGAATCCAGGGTTTGTGTAAATGGGTGTGCGTACAGTATATGTGTGTAATTATGGGCATGTGGTGGTATAAGTGCGGTGTCTGTATATCGTGCATGAGCATCAGTGTTTGTGTGTGCGTCTATGTGTTTGTGTGTGGCCTTCATATGCTACCCATTACATCACCAATCTGTGTAAACCACCATAGGAGGAGAAACAGAGTGAGACACTCAGACTACGACCTCAAAGACATCAGAGAGGAAGGGGAACCTGTGACAGGGCCTGCCAGGCCTCGCTGCCAGACAAACTTTACTCACACAAGATTCACTCAATTCGGTCATGCTTTACAGTAGGTTTCCTGTGCGCCACGGCATGTATTCACACATTATTACGCAGGCTTCGATTTGAATGCCTCACACTCTTTGCTCACCTTTTGCTGGGCTGTTAATCCCCACAGCTGCACGATTCATTCGCCACTTTAAAAACTTTGATTTGAACAAAGTTGTCTCAACCAAACATGTAAAACAGACTATCATCAGAGTGAGTGTTAGTGTAATATACTCCATAGTTTATTTATCTGATAAGGAAGAGCTTGAGCAAGAATAGATTGTTTTTTTATGTTGGGGGTTTTTGTTCATTGTTTACTTTAGTGTCATTAGACTTGTAATCTGATTATGTGAACAAATACCAAATCAGCACGTTCTGATAATGTGGATTTTCCCATAAATGTTTGCTGCCGTGGGTTAATTTCCATGTCCAGTTGGATGATAAAGGAGTCTTGTGGATTTTAGGGTTAAGCCTTCATGTTCTGCTTACCTCAGAGCGTCATCTAAACAGTGCAAGCGTTGGCTGTGACGCAACGCTGCTCTGATGGTAAAAGGAATTATGGGAGAAGGAGTAGTAATACATTCACCATTTTTATGTTGCACCCTCATTTCCTCTAGTGGATTCCAGCGGGGCTTGAGTAAACAAACGTGAAGATTACGCTCAAAGGGAAAACCAAAGGTCCGACCTATTACTGTTAATACACTTTCAAGTTTCCCCGTGACCACCTCCGCTCTTCTTCCTCTCTGCTCCGTCATTCTGTCCCCCATTCATTCTCTCCAGCTCGCTGCCAAGTGCGCGATTCCGCTGGGATCCTATCTGGGGAATTGTCATGGTAACCTTACCCTTACTCGCTACCCAACGCAATCATGGCCCCATCCCCCTTCTCCCCTCTGCTTGCCCCCTTACTTCAACCTGCGTCAGAGAGCAAGTGAGTGTGTTAATAGTTCAGGGGGGATAGGAGGAAGAAATAGTGACACACAGGAGGGGGCTGCAGTCATTGGGCAATAAAGTGACGTCTCTGACTCTCTCTTTCTCACTGTCAGTGATCAGAGGTTAAAGCACTGTTGTCCTCTTCCAAATGGATTTATGAACTCTCAACACCCCCCTCCATCCCCCCATCGACTCACGAGTCTTTAGTTGAAAAAACTCCCTGTGGACGTGATTTACTAATTATGCGTGTCAATTGCTCTCTTCCTTTTTCATGTGAGCTGGCCACTGGCGGCATATATGGCTGTTGTGCATCTGTTGCTTTGCGTTTTTATTAGACCATTAAATGGGGACATTAACCAGCATCATTATTGCAGGTTTCCTCCGTTGGTTCAGCTCACAGAGCCGTGCAAAGGACAGGATGCAGGGATGAAAGGGAGAGCATGAGGAAAACATCTCATGTCGGCAGAAACTGGGGGAGCAAAATGCTCAAAATCAGCTCTCCATTAAACATTTACGAGACAAAATTTGGTTTGGAAACCAAATGCTATGGTATGTGACAAAACACAGTGTATGAGTTTGTATGCGCGCGTGTGTGCGCTCGTGCATGTGTAACAGCAACAGTCAGCCGAAACCTTCTCCCTCTCTGACTCTGCGTTGCTCACCTGCTCACGTTCCCCTCTCACTCTCACTGCGTCCAAGCCCGTTTTGCGTCTGCCAGTGAGGAAATCTCTGAATGAACTAGTTGAAGCAATAGGTCACAGACAGAGTGTGAGAAGGAGAAGAGGAAGGGGGTGGGGGTGCAGCGGGAAGCAAGCAGCCCACGCAAAAGGAACTTTTTACTGTGCAAACACTCTTTCCATCTACCCTGCTTGCTCCCTCAATCTCAGACTAGTGTTAATACACTGGAGAGCCCAAGCCTGTCTCAGAGCTCCCGTTTTCTCCACCGGGCCCCCCCCCGCGCTCCTCTCACCGCCATTCTCAGTCGCCCTAAACATTCTTTCCTCTCCTGTCATTGCGTGTCCTGTCTGCATCCCTCTCTCTCCCCATCTCTTCCTCCTTTCAAAGTGCTTCCCCTCAGCTCCCTCGTTCTTTCTCTTTCACGCACGCACTCGC